TCTAATTCAAGATGTTATTCAAATCATACTTAAAACTACCGCAAAACCTTTGAAACCACCACCATCTTTACAACCATATATTCGTATCTTAGACTGTTTACGTGTTAAGAGAGGTATCTTATACAAGAAAGACGAAACTCCTGATGGACGTAATGAAGGACTACTCATCATCATTCCACGATCTCTAATAGCTGATGTTCTTCAAGCCGCACATGACAATCCGACATCGGGTCTTTTAGGTGAAGAACGCACAATCGACCAAATAAGACACAGGTTCTACTGGCCCGGATGGCGCAAAGATGTAAAAGATTATTGTAAATCTTGTTCGATATGTTCCCTACGAAAATCACCAACACCAGGATTAAACGCACCTCTTCATCCTGTTATAGCTCATCGACCTTTTCAGATTGTATCTATGGATTTCCAAGGTCCATTACCAAGATCGACTAGAAACAAACGATACATTTTAGTTCTCCAGTGTAAATTTACCAAATATATAGAAGCATATGCTGTACCTAATCAAGAAGCAGAAACAGTAGCTGAAATTCTTATCGATCGTTTTATACCGCACTTTGGAATCCCTGAAGTGATACATACAGACCAAGGTGCATGTTTATGTCGAAGCTTATTACTGATTTGTGTGAGATGTTACACATTCGCAAAACCAAAAATCCTCCTTATACTCCAAGTTTTAATGGACAGGTCGAACGTTCCTAAAAAGTAATCGCAGAATCGTTGTCTGCAATGGTTAAACAATGTGCTAAAGGTAAAATAGTTGAATGGGACAAATATATTCCTCTCATTTGTTTAGCTTACAATTCAACAAAACATGCAACCACAAAACATGTCCCTGCAATGCTTGTTTATGGAAGGATTCCGAGAACTTCTATTGATGTTTTATTTGGAACAAATACATCCACAAATCCCGAAACCGTTGACTCTTATGCACAAAATTTGAGAGATCGTTTAAAAGTTGTTTTTGAAGAAGTGATTAGGGATACTAAATTAGCAGCTGAACGACAAAAGATTTGGTTTGATAGAAAAGTAAGAGGAGAAGCCTATAATTTGGGAGATCAAGTATAATTGCGTAGAATGGTTTACAATGAAGGAGAATCAAAGAAATTTGCTGATAGATGGAAAGGCCCATATGAAGTAATCAGTGTTTTAGGCGATGTCACACGAAATACTAGATCCCAAGTCTAATCATAAAGTTGTAGTTCACTTCAAAAACTTAAAACCAGCTAATATTCGTGATGCTAAACAAAATGATCTAAAATCCACCAAAGCACTTGAACCTAAACCCGTATCCATATTAAAACCTTCTGTAGATGCTGAACATACCATCAATGCGAGACGTTCTTCCAGAATACCAAAACCTAAAGTACGTTTTGACCCATCGACTTATTAGGTGTTTCTTAGGGGGAAGGGGATGTCATTTAAATTTAATTTAATGAAAAGTAATAATCAAAGAAAGGTTATAGCATATTTGTTTTGAATAATATATTTATTTTACTGTACTAAATATTACATTATGTTGATTGGAATTCGAAATGTCAGGAGACATTTAAACTTAGGGGGGCGGTGTGACAAACCTTATTTGGTATGTCTATTAGGTATTAGAGAAGTGTGTGTATGAATAGGAGAGTGAGTGATGGGGTAGGAGAGTTCGGTTAGTGATGGCGGAATAAACATGTTAACTAATGAAGGAAGTCTTCTTATTTTCCATTGACGAGAGGTCTCCACAATCTTAATTGTAATGTTCTTAGCAGACTTCAAAGAATAATCCAAGTTAAGTGATAACATGATAATTTACGTTGTACAAACTTCTGTGCTATTGAAGGCCGTGTCCTAATAGAAGTTTGACACGGTACTCGTACTCAGACTTGATTGTTCGGAAGGGCAAGTAAATATATTCTGTGAGGCAATGGAATGTGGTGTTGCAGTAATGGAATTGGTTGGATAGAATTTTTTCAGGGCAGGAAAGCCATCCATTTTCACAGATTTATGGAAACTACCATCTTTTTCCTGGGGTATATTTGAACATCCTGTATCAAACAAAAACACCAGTCATTTCAACACCATTATGTCGACAACATCTAATATTCAGTCTTTCTTACCACCAATACAAAAACATCTTTCCTGTTTGTGTGGCTTCACAATCACCATCATTTGTGACAAGAGGACAGGAAAGAGTAGATAAAGGGTGCAATATGATTGGTTAACCCTTTATAAAACATTCAATTAAAAGATGGTATTTGCCTACTGGTTTACTAAAACCTATCATTCTTAGACCGTTATTTTTTAATGCAGCCAAACAATCCTTTATTATATACTCTCACAACACTAACGACTATAATTCAGCGGAAATTGTAGTAAATTTCTGATGTTTTCTGAAGTAAAAGAGATGAAAAGAGAGTTAAGTTTTACTGAACTCGAGGACGTGGGAGATTTATTAGTATTAGATCTATAGTAATACAATTCTACAGATTACAGTTAAAGTTATATTAATGTACCAGGCGGGAAGAGATGAATACATTAGACATTGTAAGATTGCGTTTTTATATAGATAGAAGTTTCAGTTAATCTTAACAATATAACCTTCAAATATAGCATTTGCGGTGATCTTACTTTTAGATAAGCCTTCCAAGTCATTTGATAAGCCCTCTATTTAAATATAGTCTTACCTCCTTCATTTCTATTCAATTGGATTAGAGGTGTAATATCATGCCATGTGCATGTCACAGAGAATACAGAGGAACCTTTTACATGGAAAGCGCATCCATCACTCAGTCATCCTTACTAGCTTGGATCATTCTTGAGAAAGCAGTTTCTATTGCGATCTATACAGTATTGCTAACACGGATTGTTAACCCCATTTCCCCCCAAGAAGAGATAACTACATAGGTTTACCCAATTAGAGCATGAAAAGAACAGTGGACATCAATTATATTCATACAAGCAATCTGTTCCAATGGAAAATTTCAGACATTAAAATACGATTGATACATATCCTTTGATACAGTTAATATTACCTTCACTGAATTGAAGCAAACTGTGTTGTGAAGGGGTAATACTTAACTGGATTTCAGCCCTCGATTCAGCAAGCTGATATTCTAGTCACATTGATTGATCCAAACCTTAATTACCATCCAATAAGATTCACCCAAACTAAATAGTGCGCGAAAATGCATTTACATGTGTAGCCATTTCAATATTCCACCTCAACTACCTCAACTTCACAACGTCAAGCTATCGAACTTCGTCTTGTACCTCGACTACAACATTCAGCTTTCTTGTAAGGAAGGTTGTCAATGCGACGATTTGATTGGATTGTATGTTAGCGAATACAACCAATCAGAGTCCTCGACATAAAATCTGTAGACAATAAGTCATAATGTTTACAGTCTGTCCGTCGGTGGGATATGACTGACTGTGCTCGCTGGCGAACAATCTCATTACAATACT